AGTCTCCAAGGGCCGAGGGAGCTTGGAGGCAAAGGGACAGAGAAGCTGCAGCGGTGGAGAGAAGAGCAAGGTGTCTCAGCCAGTATTCACTGACGTCTCCCCTAAGGAGGCACCAGTCTAACCAGGTCTGCCGGGCATGAGCCAAAGTCCACAACCAAAGGGATAAGAGAGGCTATCATCAGGAGACAGCCTAGAAAGACCTAGAACTCTACCAGGCGTTGGTGGTGCATGCCTTTAATCCCAGCACTCAGGAGGCAGAGGCAGGTTGATCTCTGAGGGTTCAAGGCCAGCCTGGTCTACAGAGGGAGTTCCAGGACAGCTAGAGGTGTTACACAGAGAAACCCTGTCTGGAAAAACAACCAAACAAGGCTTGGGACTCAAAGGCAGAACACGCCCTTTTCTACCTGGCTGGTCATGGCTGCCAGTGGGTCCCTGACCAGAGTCTTCCTTTGGAAATTCTCTGGGCTGCTGTGAAGGATTGCCCACTAACCCTCTGGGGAGAGGCAGTCAATGAATCAGCATTTAAGGAAGCAGGAACTCTCAGGGACGAACTCCATCCTGTGTGCTCCTGAGAGAGTGCCTCCTTAAAGGTTTGCTCTTGTGCCTCACCCCAGTTCAAGCCCCTGCTGCACCCTAGAGGTGGAAACAGTAACTGCACACAGTGCAAATGCCCATCCCTGGTGGGTTAGGGCTGTGGCTCTAGTTTTTTGTTGTTGTTTTGTTTTGCTCTTTTTTTTATTAAAAAAAAAATTATGTTGCCAGGCGTTGGTGGTGCACGCCTTTAGTCCCAGCACCCAGGAGGCAGAAGCAGGTATGGATCTCTGTGAGTTTGAGACCAGCCTGGTCTACAAAAGCTAGTTCCAGGACAGCCTCCAAAGCCACAGAGAAACCCTGCCTTTAAAAACCAAAAATAAGAGCCGGGCGATGGTGGCGCACGTCTTTAATCCCAGCACTCGGGAGGCAGAGGCAGGCAGATCTCTGTGAGTTCGAGGCCGGGCTGGACCGACAGCCTCCAAAACAATACAGAGAAACCCTGTCTCGTAAAAAAACCAAAAGAAAAAAAAAACCAAAAATAAATAAATAATGTCTATGTATTTATGTTGGGGTGAGAGGAGGGTACTACCACTGTGCGTGGGTGGTAGTCAGAGGACAATTTCTACCACATGGGACCTAGAGTTCAAACCCAGATTGGTAGGCTTGGCAGAAATGTTTTAATCCTCTGAACCTAAGTCCAGATTTGCAAGTACTTGGGGTATCTTGACGCTCTCCAGAGAAGAGGGTAGGGGCTGGGGTACAGCTGGGATGTGGAGAGGTAGGAGCAAAGCCTCTGGGCCTTCCCCAGGTCTCCTCCTGGGGGCCCTGCATGGAGACAGCCCATGCACCTCACCCTCTGCATACATGGCCACAGGCAGGCCAAGGCCTGAGACTGGGATTAACACACTTGAGTTAGAGAGTAGGGCAAGAGGTCAAAAAGTCTCAGCCTGCCCCAAGAATGCCCTGGTCGTTGGTGATCGCAGCTAGAGGCTAAAGCGATGTCTCAAGGTTGCTCAGTCTTGCCCTTTGCACCCTGGCTCCGTGGGCATGGCACAGGGAAAGGGGAAGGAGGTGGCTTCCATTGCTGGGTGGGGCTTATCTATGGTCCAGCGAAACCAGAGTGCCCTCAGGTCCACCTACGCTCCCCAGCCTCCGACCCCCCTAAAACTCAGCCCCTATGACAGCAGCACCCCCTATTGGCAAGTTGAGAGAACTACATCTCCCTTTTGGGGAGGGAGGTCCAGGAGTTCAGGGGAAAGGAAAAGGTACAGGACTGATGCTGCCAAGCTGGCGAGGAGGGCAGGAAGGAAAGGTGAACGTTGGCTAAAGCGGATAGGCAGGTACCATCTGGTAAATAGCACCCACTTCCTGGTTAGTGGCCTTTGAACAGATGCCAGAAAGGCCGGGACGCAGGCACAGGTGGAGATGGGATTTTCTAAGGTAACTGCTGAGGAACACTGCTCCCATGAAGTTATCCTCCCTCCTCCTGTACACATGGCTCCGAGAAGAGCTTCATCAAAGGCTGAGCCCTGGCCCCTGTCAGTGGATGCAAGCACACCTGTGGGTTCCCCCGAGCAAGGCCCTTGGACTCTCAGAGAATTCTGATGGAGTTGAAGGGCTAGGCTTATGGAGGGCAGTTCCCTAGGGCACTCAAAAGAGAAGAAGAATAGCCGGGCGGGCGGTGGTGGAGCACACCTTTAATCCCAGCACTTGGGAGGCAGAGGCAGACGGATCTCTGTGAGTTCCAGGCCAGCCTGGTCGACTGCAGAGTGAGTGCCAGGACAGCCAGGGCTACACAGAGACACCCTGTCTCGACAGATGTGATGGTGCACACCTGTAACCCCAGCATTTGGGAGGTGGCAAGAGTTCAGAGTCATCCTAGCTACACAGTGAGTTTGAAAACAGCCTGGGCTACATGAAATCCTCTCTTATGAAACAAAACAGGAGAGGGATGTAGAGAGGAGAGAAGGGAGAAAGGGAAATTGACTGATTGAGGGTCAAGCCTATGTACTGGTGCACACTTGTAATCATAACACTCAGGAGGCAGAGGCAGGAGGATGAAGAATTTGAAGTCAGCCTAGGCGGCATAACAAGACCCTGACTCAAAACAAACAAACAAACAAACACACTGAAAGCCAATAACAACACACACATACACACACACACACACCATTGTTTTTTGTGGCAAATAGCTAAGACTGAGAATGGAGGTAGGTAGGGATCAAACCAGCCTAAAATCCTGAGTTCCTCTGAGCAGCTGCCTGACTTTTCAGACACATGTCCCATGAGCTCCATGCCAGTGCTGTGGGACACAGGTACCACTTTGGAGCTCTAGATAATGCCCAGAGGCATGAGAGGACCTGGTGTGTGCTGTCTTGACTTGCTTGTGAGTCAGGAGTGTGTGCAACATAGCCACGAGCAACGTGTATTTCCCAGAACTTTCTGTCACAGAAAGGGGAAATTGTTCTCTAGGGGAGCTCTGCACACCATGTCCCTGGTACCAGGACTCTCTACCCCAGACAAGAAGCCAGTACTGGACTGGGATGTAGCTCAGTGTAGCCTAGCGTACATGAGGTCCTGGGTTCCCTTCAGGACACTGCATAAACCAGGAGTAGTGGGGCTCACTGCAGCCCCAGCACTCGGAAGCTGGAGGCAGGAGGATCAGAAGCTCAGAGTCATCCTTGGCTGCATAGTGAGTTTGAGGCCAGCCTGAGCTACATGAGGCTGACATGGCCATATTAGAAGAGAAGGGAGAGAGAGGAAGAGGTGGTGGTTTCCAGGAGCACTTTAAGACAAACTTGGGCTAAATACTGAATTTGAGACCTGACTGAACTACATAAGACCCTGTCCAAAAACAAACAAAAGCCAATGTATCTGGGACTTTGTTTACCAGTAAAGGTCACCCATGCCACTTGGAAGCAGAGGCCTAGGCTTCCCAAGGAAACTCCTGTCACTAGCGTTGGCAGTGTGAGGAAACTATTGTCTTTAGGACTCAGAGAGACCCCTTGCTCAGGCAAACAGCCCCAGATTAGTTTACAGGGCGGTAGATGCTCTACAGAGCCTCATCTGCAGGAGGAGCCAGAAAGACAGAGAGCTAGTGCCTAGCTGCCTGAACAACCCAGGTACACTTGGGGCCTCATTTTGCCTGCAGACAGGAGCTATGGAAACAAGGAGCTGTGTCACCAGGGTGTGGAGGCTGAACCACCACACTGGGACTTATGGGAAGGAAAATCAACGCAGATACCAGACAGCGCTGGAGTCCGGAAAGCCGTGTGGCCTTAGAAGGGTCTGATTTCTTTTGACAAACAGGCCTGGGAAAGCAGATGTGGTGGAACAAGACTGCCATCCTGGCACTCAGCAGTAGAAACAGGAGGATTAGGAGTTCTGGGCCAGCCTGGGCTACATGACATCCTATCTCTCAAAACCAAAATGGGATTGGGAAGATGACTCATTGGGTAAAGCACCTGCTGTACAAGTGTAAGGACTGAGTTCTGGTTCCCAGAACCCATTTAAAAAGCAGGGTATGGCAGAGCACACCTGTGTCCTGGTGCTGGGAAACTGAAGATTGGGTGGACCCTGGGGCCTCAGTGGCAAGGAGGTAGAGAAAGATACCAGAAACACAAGCACAAACATGCATAGACACATTTTCACACATACATACATGCATACACACATACATATGTATGTGTGTGCACACACACAAAACACTATGTTAAAACCAGGTTCAGGAAGCCTTTTGGCTGTGCTGTTAACTTCATCACCAAATTTTGTGTATTCTATGTGGATCTGACAGCCCCAGAAGCCAAGGTATGCCTGACCATCCCTGGGGTGGTAGCTTGCACCAGGACAGGGTCATTGCCATCGGGTCACAAAGCTCCCAAGATGCTGGGTGCTGGGTGAACTGATCTCTTTTAGGTTGCATTTATTTATTTATTTATTTATTTATTTATTTATTTATTTATTTATTTATTTATGCAGTGTGTGTGTGTGTGTGTGTGTGTGTGTGTGTGTGTGTGCATGGTGCCTGCACACAAGAGCACAGGTGCAAGAGCATAGAGCACACATGTGGAGGCCCGAGGAGGCCATTGCTCTTCCACTATTGCTCTGCCGGTAAGGTCCCGACATAGGTCTCATTGAACCAGAAGCTGCCAATTCAGCTAGGCTGGCCGGCCAGTGAGCTCTTGTGATATTCCTGTTTCTGCCCTTCACTGCTGGGTGGCAGATACTTGTAGACATGTCTGGCTCTTTATGTCTGGTGCTTGTGGAGACTTGTACAGAGGTCCTCAAGCTCACCGGTGGGTGCTCTTGCCCAGAGAGTCATATCCTTAGCCCATCCCCTTCCAATCTTTAATTCAAAAATTTACCTTGTTATTTTTCTGCATGCTCGTCTTTTCTAGTCTAGTAGAGGCTACTGGGGATGGGTGGATGGTGTGATGAACTTAGAGAACAAATGTTTTGCCAGGTGCTGGGTGCAGAAGCATGTGAAAGGCACAGATACTCAGCAAGAACTTATGAAGCCAGGTGTGGTGGTAATCCCAGCCGGGAGGGGAGGACAGGAAGATGAAAAGTCCAAGGTAAGCCTCAGCCGCATCAAGTTCTAAACCATCATGGGCCATAGACCTTGTTAATAAAAGGGAATCACAGAGGTTGGAGAGATGGCTCAATGTTAAAAAATGCTTGCTGCTCTTCCAGCGAACCTGAGTTCTGTTCCCAGTAGCCATGTCCAAAGCTAACGTCCACCTGTAACTCCAGCTCCAGGAGATCTAACACTTCCTTCTGGCCTCTGCAGGCACCAACACATGGCACATGGCACATGACACACACACACACACACACACACACACACACACACACACACACACACAAAACAGATCTTGGGGAAAAAAGAGCCACAGCTGTTGAGCCTGGACTATGTATCAGAGGTGGACAAACACCAGAGAAATGGAGATGAGTAAGAGAGTCCCTCTTGCTTGGCAGTGGTGGTACACACCTTTAATTCCATTACTCAGGAGGAAGAGACAGGCTGATCTCTGAGTTCGAGGCCAGCCTGGTCTACAGAATGAGTTCCAGGACAGCCAGAGAAACCCAGTCTCAAAAAACAAAACAACAACAAAAAATGAATTTAATTTTGTGTGTATGGGTGTTTTGACTGCATGTGTGTCTGTGAACCATGTGTGTACCTGGTGTCTGTGGAGGTCAGAAGATGGTGTTGGATCCTCTGGAACTGGAGTTATAGACCAGTGGTTCTCAACCTGTGCGTCTTGAACTCTTTGGGGGTCAAACAATTCTTTCACAGGGGTTGCAATCAGATATTTACATTATGATTCATAACAGTAACAAAGTTACAGTTGTGAAGTAACAACAAAGTAATTTTCTGGTGAAGGGTCATCTTAACATGGGGAACTGTATTAAGGAGTTTCAGCACGTGGAAGGTTAACCACCACTGTTACAGATTGTTGATAACCTCTGTTATTATAGACAGCTGTGAGCCATTATGTGGGTGCTGGGAGTTGAACCCAGGTCCTCAGGAAGAATAGTCAATCTTCTTAACCACTGAGCCATCTCTCCAGCTGTGCAGAAATCCCTGTTCTTGAAACTCATTTTCCAGTCCAGTCAGGCAGTTATCAAACAAGGCAAGTGGTACACCATGGTAACTGTTTTGTAAGAAGGTCACCTTAAATTTGGGGTTTAAAGGATGTCTCTGTTAGGAGGGTGACTTCTCAGCTCTCTGACAGAAGGAGCAGCAGACAAGCACTCTAAGCTGAAGGGGTGGGCAGTGCAAAGCCCTGGGGAGACAGCAGCCCAGCTCCAGCATGGAGGGTGTGTGTGTGTGTGTGTGTGTGAGAGTGTGTGTGAGTGAGTGTGTGAGTGTGTGTGGGTGTGTGTGAGTGTGTGTGGTGTGTGTGTGAGTGTGTGTGTGTGTGTGTGTGTGTGTGGTGTGTGTGTGGTGTGTGTGTGAGGGTGTGTGTGAGTGTGTGTGAGTGTGTGTGGTGTGTGTGAGGGTGTGTGTGTGTGTGTGTGTGTGTGTGTGTGTGTGTGTGTGTGTGTGTGTGGTGTGTGTGTGTGAGGGTGTGTGTGTGAGGGTGTGGGTGTGTGGTGTGGGTGTGTGGTGTGTGGGTGTGTGGGTGTGTGAGGGTGTGTGTGTGTGGTGTGTGAGGGTGTGTGTGTGGTGTGTGTGAGGGTGTGTGAGGGTGTGTGTGTGTGAGTGTGTGTGTGGTGTGTGTGTGTGTGGTGTGTGTATGTGGGTGTGTGAGGGTGTGTGTGTGGGTGTGTGTGTGTGTGTGTGAGGTGTGTGTGTGAGGGTGTGTGTGTGTGTGTGTGTGTGTGTGTGTGTGTGTGTGTGTGTGTGTGTGTGTGTAGGGAGTGAGGTGCAGTGAGGTAGCCAGTGAGGTAGCCAGTGAGGTGAGCAGGCCCCCACCATGCAGGGACCTATGTCTAGGGGTTAGACTTTATGCCAAGGAAGATATACTTGTATGTGACACACACACACCTACAGTCCCAGCACTCAGGAAGTACAGGAAGAGGAGCAGGAATTTAAGATTATCCTTGGCTGCCTAGCAAGTTTAAGGCCAGCCTGGGCTACGCAAGGCCCAATTTCAAAAAACAAAGGCTGGAGACTGTAGACATGCCTAGCGTGTCTGGAGCCCCAGTAGTTCATGAGTGCTGTATAAACCGGGCATAGTGGTAGACGTTTGTAACCCAGTACTTGGAAGGTAGTGGCAGGAGGATCAGAAATTCAAGTTAATCTTCAGCTATGTAATGAGTCCAAGGCCAGCCTGGGCCACATTAGATCCTGTCTCAAAATGAACAGAGAGGTGGCTTGGCCGGAAAAGGCGTTTTCCACACAAGCTTGGCAGCCTGGCTTTGATCCCAGGAACCCAGACAAGGGTGGATGAGAGAGCTGACTGCTCAAAACTGTCCTCCAGCCTCCACATTCACAGTGTTTCGTGCACACACACAAATAACGATAGGGCAGAGGGACAACAGGGCACGGCAGGAAATGAGCCGGGCAGAGCCTGGTGGGGGAGCCGAGCAGTCAATGTGGAGGCTATAGCGTGGGAGAAAGTATCTATAAAACATGCATCTAGAATACAAAAAAGAATGCTTGCAAAGAAGCCAGACAGGGATGTACACTGGTAATCCCAGCACTTGGGAGGTAAAGGCAGGAGGATCAGGACTTCAAAGTCATCTTCAGCTGCATAGTGAGTTGGAGGCTAGCCAGGGCTATATGATACCCTGTCTCAAAAAAATAAAAAGTCAAATTAGTCAGTTTGGTGGCATACACCTTTACTTCCAGCACTCGGAAAGCAAAGGTAGGCAGATCTTTGTGGGTTTGAGGCTGGCCTGGTCTGCATAGTGAAATCCTGCCTTCAAAAAAAATTAAAATAAAATACAGGATACAACACAATAGTCAATTTATTAAATGGGCATACACTCACATATATGTATATACATATATGCGGGGGGAGGGGAAAACACTAAAATTAAATACATATAAAAACCCATATGGAAGCCTGTTACTTTGCTGTAAGGTAATTGAAATTGTATTTATTATCATTAGTATGTACATGTATGTGCATTATACTGTCAAGTTGATAGTCACTACCTGCCATCAAAACCAGGCCCAGGGATGCACCTGTCATCCGAGTGTCTGGGAGGGGACCACAGGAAGATCAGAAGCTTAGGGTAAGTTTGTAGGCTACCCTGGGCTACATGAGAAACTGTCTCCAAAAAACTCTCCTAGAGAAAAATGACCACCTGCACAGATGACTAACAGGTCAAATGACTTCAGATTTGAAAGTGAGTCTCACTGTTAGACTAGAAGCAAGGGTAATCACGTGGTGTGTGTGTGTGTGTGTGTGTGTGTGTCCATATTAGTCCATGTTAGTGTGTGTGAGCACATTTGTATTTGGGTACATAGACATGCACTGCGCATGGAGGTCACAGATTGACATTATTACTCTATCATCTCCCACATTTATTATTATTATTATTGTTGTTGTTATTATTGAGAAAGAAGCTCTCACTGGAAGCCAAGCTCCCTGCTTTAGCTAGACAGGCTGGCTGGCCAACCCGGGATCCTTCTGTTCTTGCTGCACCAGCACGGGGGTTACAGACACCCGCCACTTTGCCTGGCCTTTTCCATGGGTACCACAAGGATCTGAACTCGAGTCTTGGCACTCACAGAGCAAACACTTTCCTGACCCAGCCATCTCCCCAACCCTTGAGTTGGGTCACTTTGTCACTGTCCATTGTGTGTATGCACGGCACTCCTGTGGGGATCAGGGCGCAACTTGCAGGGTCTGTTCCCTCCTCCCACCGTGTGTGTGTGGGGTTTGAACTCCTGTTTGAACTCAGCTTGGCAGCAAGTGCCCTTCAAATCGTGCCTTTAAACTCCTGATGTAAAGCCGGGAGGTGGTGGTGCACACCTTTAATCCCAGCACTGGAGAAGCAGAGGCAAGAGGAGCTCTGAGTTCAAGGTTAGCCTGGTCTACAGAGTGAGTTCCAGAACATCCAGGACTGTTACACAGAGAAACCCTGTCTCCAAAAATCAAAACAAACCAAAAACAAACAAACCAAAACAACAACAACCCCCCCAGAAAAACAGAAAAAGAAAATGTTTCATGATGAAAACAAAAATCAAATTTTGGGGTCCAGCAATGCAACTTAGTGGAGGGCTTCCCAGCATGTTCAAGGGCGCGTGGCTCGGGAGCCAGTCCCTAACGCTGCAAATAAATAGACAACAGGTTTTGTTTTGTTTTTTAAATTTATTTATTGTGTATACAGCCTTCTGCCTACAGGCCAGCAGAGGGCACCAGATTTCATTCAAGGTGGTTGTGAGCCACCATGTGGTTGCCGGGAATTGAACTCAGGACCTCTAGAAAAACAGTCAGTGCTCTTAACCGCTGAGCCATTTCTCCAGCCCCGACAACAAGTTTTGATGCTGTTGCCAGTGTATGAGATGACAAGAGAGTGGGCAAATGTCACCAAAGTTCATTCTACAAGTGTGTGCAAGTGCCCTTAGTGAAACCCATTATTTTGTACAGTTGGGTTTGGTTTTTACAGCAGGGTGTTACAAGTCTGTAATCCCAGCACTCAGGAGGGGACTCATTGAAAGTTCAGAGTCAGCCTGGATTACAAACATAGAGACCCTGTCTCAGAAACACCTCTACCTACCCCCACCCCCATCCAATTCCCCAACCTGGCAAAAAGCCACTATAAAAAGAATGGAGGGTGGGGAAACCTCAGTGTGAGGAATAGGGAACCCTCATCATTGCTGGTGGGAACAGGGAGTGGGGCAGCCACATGGAAAGAGTATAGGGAGCAGCTCCTCGTTACTAAAGGCAGAATCACCACCATGTGGTGCAGGGCACCAGCCCTGGGCATACACGGAAGGAGCCTGAGTCAGCACACCACAGGCCTGCAGGTCTGCTCACAGCAGCCAGGATAGGGACCAGGCAAGATGTCCATCCACAGACAAACCAGGAAAAAATGCAGTACATATACTCAAGAGACGCTGCTGCTTGTCTTTCTTACTCTGCAGTCCAGCCGACCTGGAACTTAGTGTGTAGTCCAGGCTAGCCTTGAGCTCATTGCAGTAGCCCATCTACCTCAGCTTCCCGAGTGCTGGGATTACAGGTATAAGACCGGTGCCATAAAAAATTAAATTGTGGGGGCTGGAGAGATGGCTCAGAGGTTAAGAGCACTGACTGTTCTTCTAGAGGTCCTGAGTTCAATTCCCGGCAACCACATGCTGGCTCACAACCATCTACAATTCAATCTGGTGTCCTCTTCTGGCATGTAGGCAGAACACTGTATATGTAATAAATAAATAAATCTTAAAAAAATTAAATTGCATCATTTGCATGAAAATAGAGATAACTGGTGTTGGGGAAGTCCTGTTATTTGCCTGTGCATTTGTCAATAAAGTACTGTCTGGCCAATAGAAAACCTAGATAGGAGGGACTAGGAGTCGAGGAGGATTCTGGGAAGGGGAAACACAAGAGAGTCAACATGTAACGCCATTGGGGGTAGGAAGCCTGGAACTATTCTCCGGTAAGAGACATACTTAGATTAACAATTATGGGGTAATTACTTAAAGCAGAGCTAGCCAGTAAGAGACAAACAAGGCCAACAGCTTCATAATGAATATAGCCTCCTGTGTGTTTATTTGGGACTCATGCGGATCTAGAACCAGGCTGGCGAGGCAGAGCCCAGGCGACTGGCGGGGGATAACCAAAGCGGCTAGCAAAAGAAAAAGCTTCTCTTAACATAATGGTGATCAGGAGTGGGATCATGAATTTCCACGCAGAATGACAAAAGCTTTAAAGGAATTTTAGAAACAGAAGAACGGCGAGAAGCACAGATTTTGGTAGCAGCATTTTTCTCAGGTGTGCTCTGTTTTGTTATCGACAAGCCAAGATTCACGTGGCTCGTTTACTGGAGTCTTCCTGAGTCAGCATAAAAGGAAAAAAAAAAAACAGCAAGGTTGTTTTAAGAGACTCTGCTACCGATTGAAAGGGGTGTACGTACAGCTGGAAGTGGCAGCTTTTGCTGGAGGTCAGCATGGACTGAGGCGGTAAGCTGGAATCACGCTTACGCCTGCCATCTTGAAACGGCAGTTTAAAACAGCCGCGGTTTTACAGATAAGACACGTGGCCAGAAAAACAAAGATTTACAGTAAAGTCAGACTTGGATGAACAAAACCTCTAAAGGTTTACAGTGTGTTTAAAAATATATGTGAGATTGAGAGAGAAACTGAAACGACAAAGTGGGAAATAAAAACAAAAGTCGACGTTGTGGTGGCGCACGCCGGTAGGATTGCTCCAGAGGCAGAGGCAGGCAGGTTTCCAAAGAGAAACCCTGTCTCAGAGAAAAATAAATAAAAGTGAAAGAAATAAAGTAATAATAGATAAATAAATAAGCCACGTAAAGATGGAAAATGCACAGAGAGTCTGGATACTGTATGCTATTGTGTTTTTCAGTTTTTTGCTTACTCAGGAAGGAACTGCTACTAAAGTACACTTGCTTATAAATGCTGCTAAATTAATACAACTTATATCTTTTGAAAATGCCTTGACCTCAAAATTTAAGTATAAGGATATGTTACTCGGAAAAGGAGTTTTCACTTATGTTTCCACAGAACATAAAAAGCTGAGGATTTCTTCCAGGCTTCTGTGGTTTGACGAACCAAGACCCCCGAAAGTAGTGGACCAGATGTTCCAACGACTGAGACAGCTAAGATGATGCAGTCTTACAGACCCCGAAAATATGGACTTATACAGGTTTCTGAGTTTTGTCATGATCCCCATGGTATAAACAGTGCCCCCTTCCAGCAGGAAGCAGTTTGGAATGAGCGACGTCCCAATTCCCATCTTGTTTATAAATCTTTGTTTTCATTTAAATGGGATTGTTTATAATTGGCTAATGATCACAGCCAATCTTTTTTAATGGTAAAAAGGGAATTAGGGTATGGGTATTGTTTTTCATTTATTGATACAAATTCAAAGTCAATTTTGTGATATGTATATTTCTCCTCTTGATTAAGTATTGTGCTTATACTGATCTTTTAAAACGTAATGCATAACTGAATACAGACTATAGATAGTTACTTATAATAGAATTTCTAGTTACATAAGTTAGGTTTCTAGATATACAGAAATATATTTGAGATGGACAGTCTTCAAACCTCTCAAAGACCTTCAGAACACGGCATTTAAAATGGTTTAGGGTTTGTCTTGACAATGAGAAATGTCTGCTCCTGGCAGCACCAATTACATCTGAGAGGAAGATGGGCATCGAAGAAACTCGTTATAATGTTTGCTTTCAACATGGCAAGATTAGCCATTTGGGCAAAAAACTGCTCTTGCCTAGATTGTTTGACTGTTGTTGTATCATCTGGACATGCAGGACCCACAGGAAAGTGACTACTGAACTCAGTCTTACAGGGTTCCTGCTTGATGAAGAGTCTACGAGACTTTCTACAGGACAAAGAATAATGACTGACAGACTGCCAACGCAGATGGACAGTTTGAAATTTCCTGCTTTGCTGAGAAGTGTTCCAGACACATTGTGGCCTATGGGCTGAAGATGGATGCCCCAACGTTACAGAGAAACTTCGGGTGACTGTCCAGGCAGTAAGATGTCTCTGTCAATCCTAGTGTTTATATATTATCCTTCTGTGGTCTTTGATGGAGTTGAAGACAGATAGTTATAATTATAGTTTTCCTTAGTTATGATAAAAGATAAGCTACATATAGGACTTTGGACTCACAAGGATGGGATGGATGATATTTTCTTTAAGTCTTGCTAAAATACTGTAACTATGTTCTTACTTGATAACTGTTCTGTCATATACAATTTGACTATGTTAAAATTAAGACCTTTCTTTTGTTTAAACAGAAAAGAGGAGATGTTGGGGAAGTCCTGTTATTTGCCTGTGCATTTGTCAATAAAGTACTGTCTGGCCAATAGAAAACCTAGATAGGAGGGACTAGGAATCGAGGAGGATTCCGGGAAGGGGAAACACAAGAGAGTCAACATGTAACCGCCATGGGGGTAGGAGCCCAGAACTATTCTCCGGTAAGAGACATACTTAGATTAACAATTATGGGGTAATTACTTAAAGCGGAGCTAGCCAGTAAGAGACAAGCAAGGCCAACAGCTTCATAATGAATATAGCCTCTTGTGTGTTTATTTGGGACTCATGCGGATCTAGAAACAGGCTGGTGCGGCAGAGCCCAGGCGACTGGCGGGGGATAAACCAAAGCGGCTAGCAAAGAAAAAGCTTCTCTTAACAAACTGGAGATCACCATGTTCAGCAAAATAAGCCAGACCCAGACAAATATTGCATGTTTTCCTCTCATTTGAGGAACCCAGATTTAAACATGTGCACACGCATACACGCACACACGCACATGCAGGAACATAGAACGGGGACCATGTAAGAGAAAAACAACATACTAATGGGATAAGAAAGGCAAAATACTGTATTTTTTTCCAATGTAGATCTAGATTTAACAACCTTGCATGTGTGTAATAATATTTATGCACTGTATATAGTAAGACGTGAAAGGGGAAGGGGGACTTGTGGTTGGAGAGGAAGGGACTAGCTGGGAAATGAAGGCTCACAGTAAAGGTTAGAGCGTGGGAGCAAGTAAGAAAAAACTACAATGCTACGCATGTCATGGGTATGAAAACATCGTGATGAAACTCACTTATTTTTATTTTATTATCTTTTTGAGACAGAATTTTATTCTCACTATGTAGTCCTGATAGGCCTGGAACTTGCTATGTCCCCCCCCACCTCCAGCCCCCCTCACCCCCTCCCCTGTGAGTGTTTTGGTTAAAGGTGTGTGCCACCACTCTACAAAACTCAAATTTTTCCCATGCTTTTTTAAATTATGTTTTTTGAGATTATAATTACATCATTCTCCCTATTCTCTTTCCCTCCCTTCAACCTCTTCCATGTAATCCCCCAACACTCTCTTTTAAAATTCATGACCTCTTTAATTGTTGTTACATTTGTGTGTGTGTGTGTTTGCAATATATAAGTACAGCCTGCCCAGTCCATATAATGCTACTTGTGTATTCATGTTTGCAGGGCCAACCTCATCATTAGTCCCCTACAGTTTGTCTAGGGTTGAGGCCTCCTGAGGCTTCCCCCTTCCACGTTACCACGTCTATTGGCCTCATGCTTATTCCGGTCATGTTCAGGTAACAGTGTTAGTGAGACTTCATAGCTGCAGCAACTCTGCCTTTTGCTTTTTGTTCTTTGAGACAGGGTTTCTCTGTGTAGCTCAAGTGCTGGGATTAAAGGAGTGCATTACCACCATGGAAGACATCTCTGACGTTTCTAGCATACCGTCTCACAGCAAAGGTGATGGTCCTGTGGCTCTAACAGTCTTTCTGTCCCCTCTTCTAAAATGATCCCTGAGCCTTAGGGCAGAAGTTGTCCGTAGATGCATCAGCTGGAACTGGGCTCACAAACCTGTATTTTGACTAGTTGTGGTTTCCTGTACTGGTCTCTATCTATTACAAAATGAAGTTTCCCTGATGAGAGGTGAGGCCTGCACTTATCTGTGGGTATAAGGATAAATATTCAGAGCGTAGTTAGGAATTATGCTGGGTTAGCAAAGTGGTAGTTGCAGGTTCTTCTCTAAAATCCATGACTTCACTAGCTCTGGGTAGTTGGCTAGGTTTCCGGTGCCAGGCATGATTCCCCTTCTTAGGGAGCCTCAAGTTCAATTAGAAGTCTGTTTGTTACTAACAAGATGTATATGCCACTGTTGCACTCTTAGGGATATCATGCCATGTGGTTGCTGTTGTGATTATTACAATTGATAATTGTAATAGCTGGGTAGAACGGTGCAAGTTTGCACGGTGCCTTCCGGTACCATAAAAGCTAGTCCTCAGGGAGAAGACATTCAGATCAGATCCAGCTTGAGCCTCTGAGCCTTGTGTCTAAAGTGTATGATATCTTCAGTAATGGCGTCTTACCTTCCACTTCTAGGGGGACAACCAAGTACAGCAGCAATAGCCTTTAATGTAAGTATACATTGTCTCAGAGCAACTAACAAAATAAAACAAACAAAATAGACAATTGATACAGTTAAAATACAGTATATGTGTTTATTTAAATAGGACACTAAAAGTGTACAAATAATGCCAACACAGGCAGATAGAGAAAATGAATAAATAAACCCTCGATAAAACAAATAACAAAATAGTAGGTGCCCAGCCCTCAGGAGGAACAGGATAGACAGACTCCCAAGGGATGGACACTTCTGGAAGGATTGAGGTATAACCCTTTATGAGTTGTGTACACATATTTTTAATTTTAATAAGTGTTTTTGAGATGGGTTATTACTATGTCGATCTAGATGGCCTTAATCCCATTTTGTAGATCAGGCTAACACAGAGCTCAGACTGCTGCTACTTCCCCAGTGCTGGAATTACAGGTGTGTGTATTACCATGCCTGACCTGACTTGATGTGTGTGTGTGTGTGTGTGTGTGTGTGTGTGTGTGTGTGTGTGGACTAATTGCTAGAGTTGGTTCTCTCCTTCCACATGTGGGTTCAGGGAATTGAACTCAAGTCGCCAGGCTCATCACTTTGAGGCAAGGTCCCTCACTGAACCTGACCCTTCACAGATTGGCTAGAGGCCCACTTGCTCCCTCCAGGAATCCACCTGTCTTTGCCAGCCCAGTGCTGGCATTACAGGCACATAATGACTTTACAAGTAGGTTCTGGGGTCCCACTCAGGTCCCATGCTTATGAGGTATGAACTTAATAGGCTGAGTCACCTTACAGCTCCTATACAAATTTAGATGTGCATGGAATACTCTGATACTAGAAAAGGATTGCCTCCATCAGGACATCATGTGTATCCAAGAGCCAAGAGGACCCCATTTTTTTTAAAGATTTATTTATTATGTATACAGTGTTTTGCCTGCATATATGCCTGCAGGCCACAAGAGGGCACCAGATCTCATTACAGGTGATTCTGAGCCACCATGTGGTTGCTGGGAATTGAACTCAGGACCTCTGGAAGAGCAGTCAGTGTTCTTAAATTCTGAGCCATCTTTCCAGCTCAGGGGGACCCATTTTTGTAAACTGAGGTGCCATGAGCAACTCCTTGCCTACAAATCTGATACTTGGGACTCCTAGCCCAGTGTCCTCGCAAGTGAAGGCTTGGGAGATGAAAGCCAAAGGAGAAACATACATGGGGGTTGGGAGTAGGGAGTGTAGCCTGATTCCTTTTGTTTGTTTTTTAAAGAGGCGGAGTAAGAAGATTGGAAAGAGCCCCACTTCTAAGACCTCTAAGACACCCTCATTCTTCCAGCTGTTATTTGGGGATGCCTTCCACCATCCTCAGTGTCAGTCAAATAAGGGTAAGTATGCTGGCAAATGATTTATTTGTGTTTGTTTGCTGAGATAGGCTCTCACCATGTAGCCCTGGATGGCTTGGAAATTGCTGTGAAGACCATGCTGCCATCGAACTGTCTCTGTCTCCTTGAATGGTGGGACTAAAGGCATGCGCCACGACGTCTGCCCAGCTCCTCACCCCCTTTAAAAAATTATTTCTTTCATGTATAGGGTGTGTGCCTGCCAACTGCGGTCTCCCTATGTCTGGATCAGGCTGATGCTAGGCAAGGGCTAATATTAAACTGTCAGGAGGTGTCCTCTGCAGAAGGCAGACCTGGATCCCAGAACTCTGGAGAGAAGATGAGGAAGGTTGGTGTCCAGATGTTTGAAGGTCCCTGAAGTGGGACAATGGGATCTGAATATTAACGTATCAGCCACCAGAGGGCAGTGTTGGATTTAATCAACGGCCCAGATAAGTCCGCTTCCGTCCCTGAAAAGTAAGTGCACAGAGCTTGGCTATACTTAGCCCAGGTTTCTTTTCTGATATATATGAAGCATCTCAGATTCTTGAGCCGCTTTGTGAAGGGACAACATCGAGCAGCCTTGCAGCCAGTCTAGGTTCCCTGACTGGTGGGAATTTGGGGTGAAATACGAGAATCGGCCACAAGAGGGAGATAGGGAGCTAAGCTCTTGGTTCCAAGGATGATCTAGTTTCAAAAAGACTACAAAAGGCGAGACTGGTGACACATGGTTGGAAACCCACAATGCTCAAGAGACAGAGGCTGGAAGATCGCCCAAATTAGGGGCTTGCGACTCCTGACTCAAAAATAGGGGCAAAAATAGTGAGAACCTGACTGTGAAATAAAATAAAGTGCCGGGGCTTGATTTTATACAGAGACAGATGGCTAAGATATCTCTGTTCTGTTCCCAGCAATATGCTCACAACGACTTGTAACTCCAGTTCCGGGGGATTCCATGCCCTCTTCTTGTCTCTATAGGCACCTGCACTCACATTTTAAAAAATTAATTAGCGGGAGCTGGAGAGATGGCTCAGTGGATAAGAGCACTGCCTATTATTCCAGAGGTCCTAAGTTCAATTCCCTGCAGCCACATGGTGGCTCAAAAACATCTATAATGAGATATGGTGCCCTCTGCTGACCTGCAGGCATATGTGTGGGCAAAACACTGTATACATCATAAATAAATATATTTAAAAAACCAAGTTGCTTTAAAAATTAATTAGCTTACTTATTTGTTTATTTTTGTTTTTGTTTTTTTTAAGACAGGGTTTCTCTGTGTAGTCCTGGCTGTCCTTGAATGCATTCTGTAGACCAGGCTAGTCCTGAACTCAAGAGATCTGCCTGCTTCTGCCTCCTGAGTATTGAGAGATATCTCTTCAGCCCCCAGAGGTGTTTTACTGATGGTATTTGAAAGAATAGGGCTCCCTAAACCACCTGGTCTTCTGGGATCTGGGATGGAGGCTGTGAGAGGAGATGCTCAGTGTACTGGAGACTGAATTCAGGCAGGGACTTCCAGCAGCTGAGGGCCTCTCTCTTACTCTCATGTTCTTGTTGGGTGGGTGGTCCTTGGATGCCATGAGGTCCACCACCCTGTTGCTGTAGCTAAATTCTTTGTCATACCATAAAATGAGCTAGACAAAAGTGGCCTTTGAGAGCAATATCACCCATCACCAAGGAGGAAGACTGTCACTGTTAAAGTCACAAGAGAGAGCCTGGTACTCAGTGTAGCCCAGGGTTCCCTTTCCAGCCCCCCACACCTGCTTTTGATGTCATCACATGTGGCAGGTTCTCCAGGCAGCAGGTCAGATCCATGATGGACATATTGGAATGTAGAAGGACATGCCAGTGGGTTTTCCATTCAACTCTGGGATGACTTTACCCACAGCCTTGGCTTCACCATAGATGCAGGGATGATGTTCTAGGAATCCCCCAAACATTCACATCTCAGTTTCCCAAAGGGGTGGTTCTCAGTCTTCTGGGGGGTGTGGTTGGTGTGGGCTGTGATCATGAGTAGTCCCTCAATAATGTCAAAGTTGTTGTGATAGTTTGAAAGAAAATGGCCACCAAAGGGAGTGTTACTAATGGGAGGTGTGATCTTGTTGAAGTAGGTGTGGCCATGTTGGAGGAAATGTGCCACCGTGGGGGTGGGATTTGAGGTCTCCTATGCTCCAGCTACACCCCATAAGACAGAACACTTCCCAATGCCTTCAAGTCAAGATGCAGGACTGTCAGCTACTTTTCTAGTGCCACGTCTGCCCACACACCACCATGTCACACTGTGATGATAACAACCAAACCTCTGATTGTAAGTGAGCCACCCCCAATTAAATCTTTTCCTTTATAAGAGTTGCCATAGTCGGGGAGTGGTAGTGCATGCCTTTAATCCCAGCACGCAGGAGGCAGAGGCAGGTGGATCTCTGTGAGTTTGAGGCCAGCCTGGTCTACAAGTGAGTTCCAGGACAGCCAGGACTGTTTCACAGAAAAACAGTCTCAAAAACCCAAAAAATGGGGGCTGGAGAGATGTCTCAGAGGCTAAGAACACTAGCTTGTCTTCCAGAGGTCCTGAGTTCAATTTTCAGCAACCATATGGGGCTCACAACCATCCATAATGAGGTCTGGTGCTGTCTTCTGGCCTGTAGGGATATATGCAGACAGAACACTGTATACATAAGAAATAAATTTTTAAAAAAAGAGTTGTGTCTCTTTACAGCAATAGAAACCCTAAGACAGTTGTCATGGATGACCTTGGTCAGTGGGATGGTCTCAGACAGGTAGAGCCCATGATCATCAGGAGTGTAGCAGCATGCAGGCAGGCAGGCATGTGCTGGAGCAGTAGTTGAGAGATCGACAGGCACAAGGTACAGAGAGAGAGAGAGACAGAGACAGAGAGAGAGAGTGAGAGAGAGAGAGAGAAAGGGAGAGACAGAGACAGAGACAGAGACAGAGAGAGAAAGCAGTAACTGGTACAGCCAGCGTTGCTGATGATTTTCAGTGAGTTGTCATCCTCCTGTGGTTCACATCCATCACAAACATGGATGCATAGCAGAAAAGGCAGAGATGATGACCTTCTGGTTCCACCCATCAAGTGGGCCCTGGCATTCTCCATGGTGGTGAAGAATTCAGTAGACTCCACATCCAGCACCACCCTGTATGATGTTGGAAGGCTCTCAGTCCTGGAAGATGGATATTGAACTGACCAAAGTGACATCAAGGAGGTATGGCAAAGGCTGGCACTGGACTAATGAATGAAGATCATCAAGGTAACCCTTTGCTATGGGGTCACACCTTAGATGGCCTCTCAAAGACCCCCATGCCCATTTGGTTCAATCATTCCCTGTCAGCATTTCAACTGTCCACAGAGCAGTTGAAAGACTTAATGTCTGTTGCGAAAAACCATTCTGCACTGGAAGACAGAACAGCTTCGCTAGACAAAACAAAGTTTTCAGAAGAGACCATAAAACAAGAATTTTGGCTAATTTCTATAAATGATAAAAGACCAAAGCTAAATAAATTAATAAGTAGCATTGTGATTGAAGGCTTACTAGACACAGGAGTGGATGTAACAATAATTTCACCAAAATCTTGGCATCCAGATTGACCTCTTCAGGATGTAAACATTCAGTTTCTAGGGATTGGATCTTTATCTCAGGTAAAACAGAGCATGAGATGGGCCAAGTGTGTGGGGCCAGAAGGAGAGAGAGGAAAGTTAAAGCCATATGTGGCTGACATAGCAATGAGTTTATGGGGACAGGGTTTGTTTTGGTTTTTCGAGACAGGGTTTCTCTGTGTAGCTTTGTAGACCAGGCTGGCCTTGAACTCACATAGAGCCACCTGCCTCTGCCTCCTGAGTGCTGGGATTAAAGGTGTGCATCCCCTGGGGACATGATTTGTTACAACAATGAAAAGCTCAGATTAACATTCCTCCCATCTCAGAACCAAACCATAAACTAGCATATGCTTCTGAGGAAAATATTAAAAGATATTATCAAGAACAATCTTGGGGGTGGGGGCGGGTGGGGGGTGGGGAGGTGGAGAGATGCTTCAGTGGTTAAGAACACCAGCTGCTCCTCCAGAGGTCCTGAGTTCAATTCCCAAGACCACATGATGGCTCACAACCATCTGTAATGAGATCTGGTGCCCCCTTCTGGACTGCATGAATACATGCAGGCAGAACACTGTATATATTAAAAAACAAAACAAAACAAACCAGCAACAATCTCAGACCATTCAGGTTGTACATAAGCAGGGCACAGCAGCTGCTGACCTTTCAAAGGTACCAACAGCCCTGCCTTTAAAAAATGGTTAACGGCAAACCTGTCTTAGTGGAGCAATGGTATTTGACATCAGAAAAAAATTACAGGAATTAGAACAACTGTTACAGGAGTTGATAAATGCTCCACATATTGAAGAATTGACCAGTCCTAGGAATTTTCCTATATTTGTCATTAAAAAGAAATCTGGAAAATGAAGAATGTTAACAGATTAAAAGTCATAAATAGAAAGCCGGGCAGTGGTGGCGCACGCCTTTCATCCCAGCACTCGGGAGGCAGAGGCAGGCGGATCTCTGTGAGTTCGAGACCAAGCCTTGTCTACCGAGCAAGTTCCAGGACAGCCTCCAAAACAATACAGAGAAACCCTGTCTCGAAAAAACCAAAAAAAAAAAAAAAGTCATAAATAGAGTGATTCAGCCAATGGGCTCTTTACAGTCTGGAATTCCCTTGTCTTCTTTATTGCCTAAGGGGTGGTCTATTATAGTGATTGGCTTAAAAGACTGCTTTTTAAAACTCTACCTTTACAAGAACAGGACAGAGAAAAATTTGCCTTTATAGTGCCCACTTATAATAATTCTCGGCCTGTTAGAAGGTGTAAGTGGAAAATTCTGTTCTACAAAGGATATTAAACAGCCTCACCTTGTGTCAATATTTTGTTTAACTGCCATTGGAAATAATTTGTGAACAGTTTCCTCAACCTATAATTTACCATTATATGCCTTGTTGGGGAATACAAATTGCTCCTGAAGAAATACAAAGTGAGATTCTACTATTACCTAGGATATAAGATAGGTTTACAAAAAAATTCATCCACATAAAGTACAAGGCAAGAGAGATCAATTACAAACTCTTAACGGTTTTCAAAATTTGCTAGGAGATATTAACTGGCTATGATGCACAGTTGTATTGACAACCCAAGAACCAGTAATTTATTTCAAAATTTTCAAGATGATAAGGACTTAAATAGTCCAAGAAAATTACCAGCTGAGGCTGAAAGAGAACTGTCTTTGGTAGAAGAGGAATTACAGGTTGCACGTGTGGATCACTTGGATCCAGAGCTTGATTGTATTCCTTTTATGCGTTCTCCTACAGGGATTCTTATGCAGAAAGAAGATAATATTTTAGGATGGATATTTTATCACACAAAATGAAAAATTAAAAACCTATGTAGAAAAGTTTTCTTAGTTGATTCTGAAAGGAAAATTGAGTAGTCATCAATTAGCAGGAATAGACCCAACAGAAATTGTGGTACCTATTGCCTCATTATGGATAGAAAATGAACACTGGCAAAGAGCTTGCAGTAATTTCTAGGGATGTATTAGCAAATATACCAAAAACAAGAGACTTCAGTTTATAAAGAGAACTAATTGGATCCTTCCTCACATTGTACAGGGAACACCAATTTCTGAAGCCCCTACATTCTGTACTGATGCAAATAAATCAGGAAAGGCAGGTTATAAGTCAGAAAATTTAAGTGAAGTGGCTCAAAGCCCTTATCATTCCATTCAAAAGTCAGAATTATATGCTATCCTCTTGGTATTATTACATTTTCTAGAACCTCTTACTATACTTCCTGACTCTTGGTACTCAGAAAGAATTGTTTTTCATATCGAAACTACTGACCTTATTCCAGATGAATCAAATTTAACTTTGCTATTTATTCAGTTATAAAAAGTAATCAGAAATACAAACCATCCCTTGTATGGAACATGTATCACTTCCCACACAGGTCTACCAGGCCCTCTAGCACAGGGT